AGTCCAAATATGGGCATAGATGGTCGAGCGTCATTATGTTCACCGCATGCGCACAAAGCAGCTGGAGAGAGAGGCTACTATATTGTCTGCACCGTAACGGTGAGCTTCAGGTCGGCACCGTACTAGCAATATAGGAGTATTACATATATGGATATCTCAGCCAACTTCAGCTCAGCGACACCGGGCATATGCCTTTAACATAGTAAAAGTGGGGGAACTAGCAGTCCATACTTATATAGTCAAAGAGATGGCCCATATGCATCTTTCTTTTTCTAAGCCTCTATCGCATCCACTTATGCGCTAGCATAGGACTCGCGTACTCTAGTCTTATATCTTTATGTTCATTACAGCTCAGATAGCCAAATGATAGCAGTATGTCAGCAGTATGCACGCAGGTTTAATCAACACTTCGCAGCAGATTCTACTCAGCTGTGTCCTTATATGAGTAAATTGTGTAGGCACGATATGCAAGGAAAGCAACACAGCAAAAATATACAGAAATAAATTAAGAGCACGTTATGCATCAAATCTGCTACATTTATTTAACAACAGATTATGGTTGAATGCTGGCTGTATTCTACTGGCATAATATGTTATTGGAGACTTTGCAACACATACTCATTCGGTCTTGGTTATCTGGAAGCTTTATTTTTGTACATTTTAAAGTGAGACTCATTGAAAAATGAATAACCAACGCAAAACTCACGTACATCGTAAACAGATAATCTTTGGCAAAGCTGGAAATGCTAAGGTTCATAGGTTGAAATAATTTTGCTTAAATCAGTAAGTATTTAGGTGATATTATAAACTATCTTTGATTAATATAAAAATTCAGATAATGATAAAAATAGTAATTTGAAAAGTTTGTAGTAATAGAACAAAATATTGATTTTCAGAAACGTTCAATATCCTACGAGGAATATTAAAAAACCAAAGAGATATGTGACGAGTTTGAGTCAGGAAGCACCAGTAAAAAAAAAGACAGAAAAATCAATTAATATCAATAAAGATGTTGATAAAATTTGCAATGCGCCAAACGACGCTTTTACAGCGATTTTCCCTTACGGAAAAAGCGTTCAACTATTGACCGTAACGTACGTAATCACGTTTAACTTGACCGTAAACTTTCAATATTCAGCGTTATATGTTCAATTTTGAGCGTTAACGATCAAATTGAACGTGATTTTGTACGTTACGGTCAATAGTTGAACGTTTTTTTCGTAAGGGCTTTCAAGTTAAAATTCACAAAAAAGCACCATCTCAACTTGGTCTCTTTTGATTAGAGACAATGTAGCGATTACACATGAAGAGGTTGCGGTTGACTACAGTTACACGCAACTGATACCAACATTTTCAACTTCCATTACGCATGTTGTATGTCAGTATGGGTGTGTTTAGCCGAAGCTAGCGCTACGTAGCGCTACGTAGCGGCTTCATGTAGCAGTTGCAATTGCTGCGTTACTTCTGCTGGACAGTATTGCTACGCGCAGCGCTTTTTGTAAGCGCAAATATGTTTGTATACAAATCGCCGTTGT